ATTATGCAAAGTTGTGAATCAGGCTGTGTTTTTTTTAATAATGTAAGAGGCAGGCTTTTCAGGCATGGCAAAAAGCCACTCCTACTGTGTGAGCATGCAAATGCAAACGCAAGAAAACGAAGGCTTCAGTTTGAGTTGGTCCCAAGCCAATCCTCATGCCCCATTAATTATTCTTGAAAGAAGATCTTAAAAAAATGCCAAAAAGCTGGTCGCATTTACAAAGAGCTTGGTTTATATTATGCATAAACATAACAATTGACTAAATAGCATGTTTTATTTTTACGTATTATATATTAATTATTCTGGAAAAATCTCTTTCAAATCTAAATTTTACGGACACCAGCTTCGAAACTTTCAATTGCAGGGGACGAAAGGAATGAGCTTCGCAGAATCCAAAACGAAACTATTTTTAAAATCAACACAAATCATTTTTCAGAGGAAAAAAAAAAGGTGAATATATGAATCTGGAAATTGATTGGTCGGTGGAAATGGCGGATGCGTTCACGCCACTGGTGAATGGCAAGTACAACCACGATCCTATGCCCCTTTAATTCCCACTCAAATTTTACTTTCTATATTTCTGTCAACGTCAGTTATATACTTTATTTTTTATTATTTTATAGCTCAACCTCAATTTAAACTTCTGGATCATGATATATATTTTAACCAATTAAATTTTATCCACGTTACTTTTCATATTATAAAAAAATAAGTTAAATGATTAAAAATTTTACTTTAAATTCATAGTCTCATAACAAACTGAGTTTAAAATTTTAAAGAAATTGTTGTCAACTAATTGGGGTTAAGAACAGTTTATGTTGTAAAAAGTTTATGTGTTTATCAATAAGTGATTTTAATCCTTATATTCTTTCTTTGATCTATTTTGAATTTTCTCTAAGATTATTTTTATCAATATTCGTGGGTTCCATCTCAAAATTAATTATCAAAGAGAGGAATAGTCTAGATATATTATAAACCACTGTTAAGTCCATTTTATTTTCAATGTGGGAACATTTACAACTTTCCATTAATTAATACTGAAATTAAACTTGAATTTGTGTACTTTTCATCATCAATTTTGGTCGCTTAGTTTAATAAAATACAGGTGGAGATTCAAACTCACGATATTTTTGTTGGAAATAGATATCTTAATCCGTTGAACTATGTTCAAGTTGATAGTTAATTCGCTTTGATTAGTGTGCTTGGGCGCTCTGCTAAGTTTAGACTTTTGGTGTGGTTGTGTTTAAAGTTTGATTTGAAATTTATATTTGCATCATTAATTTATCACTTATTTGCTAAATTAAAATAGGGTAGAATGCAATCTTAAGCCCATATATTAAGTTTTTACCCAGATATAAATTATTAATGCTGTTATCTTCAATTAAAATTTGTGAAACAATATAATCAGTGCATTATAAAAAGCAAAATAATAATAAAAAGGTTAAATTACTTTCAATTATAAAGGATACTATAGAAGTATATGAAAATTGTGGTGTGTGGGTCAAAAAGGAGCGGCCATCGGCCTTGGACTATGTTAGAAACCATGATTTTCGTCGAAGTGACGTTGAATGACGTAAGAAAAACCATTATATGTGCATTTCTTAGAATAATCAATTTACATAAATTATTAATATTACAATAATATAAGAAATATAAAGTCACGTTCAATGATAATTTTGTTTTTGATTTTCTATTTTAAAACTTGAATTCGTTTATCATAATTTCTTTATTTTATCTTTCATATTTTGAAAGATATATTTGAATTTTAAAAAATATATTTTTAATATTAATTTTGTCTTTGTTTTTGTACTCCTAATTTAAAAATTATGTTTGATTAGTAACTATTTTCTTAGTGAAATTAAAAAGAACTAACTTTTCCAAATTTAAAAGTTTGACCACAATCTAAAAGATATTCGAAAAAGTGGATCACACAACTAACAACTTATGACTAAATATTTTCTCATAAGAAAAAGCTCTTATGACTAAATAAGTTAATTTCTAAAAGCAAGAGCCAAACCGAGCATAACTCAAGTGGTTAAGATACCTATCTTAGATCAAAAGGTCATAAGTTCGAACCCCACCCTCACACTAGGACAAAAATAAAGTGTTATAAAATAGGGTTAAAATATTATTTTTCTCTCTACATTTGGTTCATTTTCAATTTTTACAACTCAACTGTCTCTCTCAACTTTGGTTTGCTTTGACAATTGTGCTTTCAAAACGGTTATTTTCTCTTAAAAAAAGACTATTTTGATATCTATTTATAAAATTTTAATATATGAACGCAACAAAAATTATTTAATATAAAATTATGTTACATTTCAAAAAATATCAAGAATATTAGTATTGAATTGTGATAGAAAAATTTGAGACAAAAAATAAAATAAAAAAATTAGGACAATCATTTTTTTTTAAATACATAGATCAAATCAACCTTTCGAAAATAAAGGTAAAAGATAAATATTTTCGAAAAAGTCGGGAATTCGAATCTTTTATTACAAACACGTTTTATACAAAAGAAAAGAAAAAGGTAAAATAATTGTAAGCATCGTACATGAATTTGTCCCTATGCATGTCGTACTGATGTGTAATGGTAATGGGAGGGTGGGCCCACCTTCGTTCCAGCTTCACACGTTCTATGTTCTCTTCTTTGTATCTTCAGTTTCCCACTTCCCCCGTTTCTCAATCCCAATCCCATCTCCGTTTCGTATTTATTCCATTTCCCCCCTCATCACATATCACTCATCACTCCTCCATTTCCAAATTCTAATTTTCTATGCCAAATTCTCGCTCTCAAATCTCATCGTCCATGGATTTGGATTCCAAGGAATTCGACCTCTCTTCCCCTTCTTCTTCGCCCTTCTCCCACAGGTAATTCACTCTCAAATCACAACTAATTTCATTTCATTGTGATCTAATTTAATTAATTCACTTTCCCGGCCGGCTGCCGTTGCAGATGGTGGTCCAAGAACACGGTGGCCGTCGTCACCGGAGCCAATAAGGGGATCGGATTTGCCCTAGTCAGGAGATTAGCGCAATTGGAACTCACCGTCATTTTAACAGCCAGGGATCAAGAAAGAGGATTCAACGCCGTCCAGACCCTGCGAAATGAAGGACTCCCCGTTCTCTTCCGCCGCCTCGATGTTTCCGATCCCCTCTCCATCGCCTCCTTCGCCGCCTGGTTCACCGCCAATTTTCAAGCCCTCGACATTCTCGTGAGTACTTTTTTCCCTTCATTCTCTCCCGTTTCTTTTTCTCATTTTGCAATTTCAACCCTCCACTTACTTCAAATTACAATTTGTTTTTTTCCTTCACGTTGATTTATTTTAGTTTACACGTGTTCTGAAATCTTGATCAATTTTTGGAAGCTGACAAAATTATTTTCTTTTAAATGCTATTTTGGTGTCTTAATTCGTACACTTAGTTTTGTTTAATACTTTATTCCTTCAGTTTTTTTTTTCCTTCTAATTTTACAACTTTGCATGCGGGGAATGTGACATGTTACAATACAATTTGAAATATGAAAGATCTATATATATTTTTTAATCTTTGAAATATGTAGTTTAAGCGACATAGAAACTTGTGATTTAAGATCCATAGAAGATCCCTGAGTGGAGAACATGATTTAATTGTGTTTTTGAGTTCCGTTGCCAAAAAAATTAAAATTAAAATTAACATGTTAGTACCTTCTTCTTTAAAAGGTTGAATCTCCTATGAGAAATTTTACTACATATCGTAAATTTAATACTCATTATAAAAAGTATCACAAATTTTTTCTTTTTCATTTTTTAAAAACGTGCTATTTTGGTCAATTTTTACACTTTCTACCACATTTATAAATAGTATTACTCTCATTTAATTGTAATGCTATATTCTCAAAACATAAATCAGAATGCTAATTTGAAATTAGAAAAGAAAGTAAAAGAATTATTAGGAAACGATCTCATGTTTGTGAAGTAAAAATTGAAAGAAAAAAAAAGGCCAGGAGGGACTTTGATAATTAGTGAAATTAATTTGGGTTTAGTAAGGGGTTTGTCGTTGAGTTAGTTTCATTGATGAAGACCTATTGGTAGGTATGCTACGTGTATTTATGAAAGGTATATCTAATCATGATCTTATTTTTATTTTTTTA